GAGACCTTAGGAATCGTAGAGGTCTATCTTTGTAGGGTTTTAAGGCTTTTTCTGTCTCGCGGGGTATATCTGATCTTCATTTTCGGGCGCGCTTCTATCCCCCTTAGAACCATAATAAAAATACAATTTTTAAATATTCTCTTGGGTTTTATATAAACAAAAATGAACAGTAAATCCTAAGGAGACTATAGCCAAAGCCCCCCGGCCGCCTCCTCCAAAGGCTCGCTGTCCATGGAGGGCGGCCACGTCTTGAGCGCGAGGTCTGAAACTCCTGGGCCTTGATTTTGGTTTAAGGTTTAGGGTTTAGGGTTGTGGGTTTAGGGTTTAGGGTTGTGGGTTTAGGGTTGTGGGTTTGGGGCTCATTGAGGGTTTAGGGCCTTCGGGGCTATACCCTGACCACCACTGCTTCCTCTGGCAGAATCTTAGGCCGCAGCAGAAAGTGCTCGGGTACAGGCGAAGGACATCCAAGATCTGCACGCATGCTGCAAAGCTAAGAAACAAGAAAAGTTTATAGTCAAAGTGGCATTCAGGTACCGCAACAAGCAAACATGTCCGTCCGGCTAAAGCTGGATGCACAAGCAGCTGGACCTGCCTCTTGGTCTACTGGTGCGGCCAGCCAGGATCGGGGATCCTGCCATGTGGAGGGCTTATGTCAGTGCGCAGCGGTTTGAGGCCTTCAGCCTGCGCCCCTTCAGATTTGAATTTGGGTGCGCGAAGTATTGCCAATGCCAGACTCAACTTGTTCCCCCTTGGTCAAATGACGCCTTTGACCATCTTAAACTGGCGAAAGCGGCGCTGAAGTCGTAGCAGACGTGTTGCAACTCATCCTCGTGGCAAACCTCGCTGCACGGGTGCTTGTGCTGGCATGCTGGGTCAGACCCACGATAGAGACACAGATTGACAGGAGAGGCCCGGCCACCAAGACCGCCCGTCCCAATTCGTGATGTCTGGACGGGTTACAGCTTTGCCCCGTATGAGATAGTTACGAACAGCCACAGTAGGCGGACGTCATTTCACGCAAATCTGCAGGTCTGCGATGAATTTGGACGTATTATGTCGTATCTTGCTCTGCCTCTGCCGCAGTGTGAGCGGGACAGAAGAGCCACGACAGAACACTCACCTTGAGCTTTCAAAATGGCCTCACATGGCCGTGCCTCCTCAAGCACTTCTAGGGTAGCCCGCTGGCTTGCCGCATTCCTTCGCCGAGTTCCAGTAGGTCTTGCAGTCCAGAGCCCCGGCCTTAGCAAAGAGTAAAACGGATCAAAAGTTGTATGCAGGCGGGCTAGACGTCTGCCTGTCGTGCTGAAAGCTGATGTACACATTATTTGCCACCCAGGTTCGTCAAATTGCGGGTCGCACGGGCATTCGCCGTTTCCAGAGGTTTGCAGCAAGGAAGACGTGCAAAGGAGGTCTGCGCACCATATCCACCAGTATTCCATTTCGAGGCAGCAAAGCTGGCCAGGGACGAGGCAAGAAACATCGACGCACTGCAAATGCAGACAAGAGTTCTCACACCTGCAAATAGTGCTACTGCTACTGATGTGTTTGATTTATTGAAATCCCGGCATGGAATGGAATGCTCTTGCTCTTCGCGGTCGACTCCGTCACGTTCACGAGCTGCGTGATCCGCTCCACGTGGCTGTTGAGAAGCGACCACTTGGGAGGCCGGACCCTGAAGATCAGCGGAGCGAGTCTCGCAGCAAAGCTTGGGCTCACTTCCGGCTACTACAGCAAAGGCACTTCTGAATGAGCGAGTGTCCGGGCTCCCGATGTGTCGAACTCTGAAGGAGGCTTGGGGCATGTGAGTCGTGAGCTTGTCCCGGGCAGCTCTCTGATGCTGTCGCCTTGGTGCAGCGGAGATTTTCGTTTTTGGACTCCCGCATCCGAAGTGTGCACGTCCGACATGCCAAATCTCTTGCCCGCAGTGCAGCGAGGTGCCGTCCACAAGCACAGAAAGGCAAGCTTCACGAACATGGCTCTCACAAGGGAGCGCGGTTGAACACGGGGGAAAGTCCTTGTTTTGCTTGAGTCGCTGCGTGCGAAGCAGTCTTGTCGCACACAGGTCACATGTACATGCTTGAAGGTCAGGCCGCATAGATGCTTCTCTCAACGGCATGATGTGCAAGATGCACGAAGCTCCCTGAGAAACCAACGAGGATACGTTGGTGGTTGAATACCGTGTCGACCTGAATTCTCGCGTCACTTGGGCGGGCAATCAGATTCAGGCATCGGATAGCTGCACGATGTGCAGGTGGACGGCAAGCTTCCGCACTGCGAGTCTGATAGTGCATTGAGCCTAGCATTTGAGATAGCTCACCTGAGAATCAGACTGAGGAGAAGGACCTCAGCGTTCATCATGAAGTTCGACGGAATGCTCTTCAACAGAAGCACGCTTCACCACAGACTCATGCAATGCAAGTCCAAGACGGAACGAGGCAGCAAGAAGCTCCGGCTGCAGCACTCGCCTATCCCAGTAATAACAATAATAATAATGATAATAATAGTAGTAACAATAATAATAATGATAGTCATAATAATAGTAATAATGGTAATAGTAGTAATGGTAATAATGGTAATAATAGTAATAATAGTCATACTAGTCATAATAGTCATAATCATAATAATCATAATACTAGTAATAAAGAAGCTGGGTGCGAGCGCCTCAGGTATCGGGGGTCGTCTGCCTTGATGCGCTGCGCATTCCGCGGATCCCACAGGGTGACCTGTGTGACATGGCGGAGGTCGGAGTCTGACAGTCCTGAAACCTCCAACTCTGTGCGAGCCCAAACTTGACAGCGTATACCATATACCCCATACCCTATATCCTATACTCCCTATACCCTATAACCCTATGTCCTATACCCTATCCTCACCTCAAGGGCTACAGCCACTTAACCCTACACAGGCGGCCGTTCAGGGCGGCACTGTGTCACATCACCTTTCGGGTCTTCCTCCCGGCCTGGGCGGGGGTTGACGCGTCTGCGCGATCGCGGACCAGAACCCAGGCCTCGGTTTAGGGTTTGGGGTTTGGGGTTTGGGGTGTCGTATACCGATACACTATACTACACTACAGTACTACACTGTTTTGGGGGTACTCGGGTGGAGCAAGTGACTTCGTGACTTCTTGCTTGACAGAGGTGACAGAGCAGCTCTGGAAAGAATCATACACCTGCAAGATTGTGAAGCGTTGGAGTTGAGGTTCAGGATGGTTCAGGGACCGATGCCAGAGTCAGCCCGAACTTACCGTGAATTTATGTACTGCTGCAGAGGACCGAGGGCTCGAAGATGGCAAAACCGAACACACTTCTCCCATGTCTTCTTTTTTCTGTTCATCTGCTGCGCAGGGAGCGGTTCTTTCCGAAACTGGTACAATCTGGTGCAGCAATGATGTGGGCGTTCGAAGTTCGGGTAGAATATTTCTTCTGAGCCCTAATAAGGGCCCAAGGTTTCTTGATCAGGTTCCTACATTTTTGTTATAGTACCCTGAAAGATCCCTTCCCTTCTAGTAACCCTTATAGACCCCGCGTGCTGCAAGGTAGCCAGGCTTGGTTCCCGGCATGGGCGAGCCCCTTGTCGTCCGTGCCCAGGCAGACCCAGGCATCCAAGGAGTAACCTTTTCTTTCTCAGGGGCTTTAGTCGGCTCGCTGCTGACCCGATACATTCAGCATGGTAATTCAAGCCGGATGAGGGTGGTGCGACGATGGGGGGATGAATCTAATCTTCCCAGTCTGCACTTTCCGAGAATTCTCGGGAGCGTAGCCGCTAACGAGTTGCAATCCACATGAACCGATGCCCAGGCAGGTAGTATGAACAGATTGGTAATGCATTACAACAGAACATCATCGAGGTTCAGGGTGGTGGGACGCAAATACTCAACCTCAGCGAGGCTGCAAATGAACCGCCACAAGCAGCATGACCGAGCTATGAGCATCTCCTCGCCGTCACCATCGTCATCGTCTCCTCTCCATCGTCATCATTATTACGACCATCATCACTCTCATGGCCTTCTCCTCATCATCATCATCGTCATCGTCGTCAGCAATAGCGGCAGCAGCATATTCATCATCAGCAGCAGATATGAGCAAACAGCTGCCCTCCTAGCCGGTGTCCTCGAGTCCCTCCTCCTGTCCTCTCCCCTCTCCCTTCCCCGAGAAGGCGGCCTAGCAGAAGTGAGCACAAAAGAAGGGCGCGCTCCTCGAAGGTCGCCCGGCCTCAGACGAACCGTGGATCAAGCGCAGAGAAAGACAACCCTAGGTCATCTTTAAGCAGCCTAGTCTTCAAGTTGGAACCCACTGCAGGACGACTTGTCACAACACTCTAGCTTACACAAGCTTTCCTTGACGAAGATGTGTCATGGTTTCTCATACCTATCCTGCAATGGCCCATGTCGTCATTCTCGTCTCCTTCAAGAAGGTGAACTTCGTTGAAGTTGACGGGGTTCTCGCGTTCCCCGCAAAGGCGACAGCGACGCTTCGGAAATTCGAGGAGGGGCCAGCGGCAGAAAATACAAAAAGCCTGCCTCGAAAAGCTGAGATGGAGCCGGTGTTTTTCAGGGTGAACCCTCGACCAAACAGTTCGCCCGAAAGGAGAGGACGTTTACACAAGACGATAGATGAATCCCGACCTGCTCAGGGCGCCATGGGTTTGGCATCACGGCGACGAGGTCTAGAGCCTGGGAAAGCCTGTGAAGATACGAAGTTCAAGGTGCTAGTGCCAAGAGAACACCGATTCCCAAAACCATTCAATCCAACCGCCCCAGAAACTGAGTACAGGGGCCTTAATAATGTGAGCATGCTCTTGCAGTTTATGCGAGTATAACTGTATCGAACTAGGATGATGTCCTAGGATGGCGAGCAATGGCGAGAAGGCCGGGGCGTGCACCTTTCGCCCAGAGGGCCGGAAAGCTCGTCCAGCCTCTGCGCTGGTTACGCCTTTAAAGGGTTCTATACTCGAGTTGCCATATTGAGTTCTATACAAGGATTACTATAATTATATTGGGTTTTTGTATAAGCGTTTCTGTAAGGGAGTATAGGGTTTGAGTACAAGCGCTTCGATATCAGGGCTTCATGAGATGACGGAATGCAATCTCCCAGACTCCGGGGCTGAATGGGCATGCTGCACGCTGTGCGAGCCTATAGGATGCTATGGGAAATCAGACACGTCAGATGTGGTTCGCAAGCTACTTGCAGCTAGGGCCCTGACGTGGCTCGGCGGATGCTGCCTGAGTGAGTCTTTGGCTCGCTCTTGGTCTTGGTGCGAAATTCGCTGCAAGGCTTCCCTGCATAAGCCGTCCTTGTCCTGGCCTCCTTGGCACCGACGGGCTCGAGGGGCAGCAGCGAAACGAAACCTGGGCTTTTCGGCTTTGAGAAAACTGACATCGGCAGGAAAGGGGCTCCAAGTACGTTTTGCTGGGCACAAGCGGGCCAAGCCGATGTCACCGCAATGTCCCGCAATTTAAAATCTTGAAATCAGGGCTTTGTAGCATGCACGACCTTGGTCATGGCTGCAATCATGTCAAAAGCCTCAACACGGTCAAAGCCTGCGGCCTTCATGCGCGAGCTTATGTCGCACGGGGCCAAGCCCAACCCAGTGGGATTTACAGTGACGTGCTGCAGCGCCCAGTACGCTCCCAAGGCGGGTCCATCTCTGGTGTCGTCCACCATGAAATCATGCACCACCAGACGGCCACCTGCGCGGAGCACTCGGAAGGCGTTTTGAAACAACTGAGCAATCAGATCCTCGGGCACCGAGCCACAAAGGTAAGACATGAGAACAAGGTCTTGAGACTCGGCTTCAACGGGCCAGGAAGGGGAAGTGGCATCCAACTCCTTGAAGCTCACTCTGGGCGGCTTCTCCGGTGCAGCTTGCTCCATGAGGCTTCTTCCAACGCGGCAGACCTCCGGAAAATCCAGCACGGTGGCCCTCAACTCTGGGTTCATTCTCGAAGCCTGCAGGGAGAAAGCGCCGCTGCCTCCGCCGACATCCAACATCTGACCGGTCGTTGCAAGCGAAACCTTCCTGAAGAGGGACTTCGCTGTGGCTAAGCTGCCATTATGCTGCGCGGACGTGTAGAGCGAGGCCACTGTTGGATCCGAGAACCACTGGGAGTAGTCGAGCACCTCCTCTCCCCTCAGCACTTTTGCCAGCTGCCCCATCCGGGCATAAAACAAGCCACCCACCTGATGTTTGAAATAGTCACCATAGTAGGCCTTTGAAGACGACACCATAAACTTTTGAACATTCGGCGAATTGCTGTAGAGCTGTGATTCGTCTCGGCGCAAGCACTTTGCTGCCACCAGCGCAGTCAGCAGAGTCTGCAGGCGATTGCAGGGCACCCCGCACCCGGCTGCCAAGTCGGAGACGCTTTGCGGGCCCTTCGCCAGGTGATCGAAGACGCCCAGTTCCAGCGCGGCAAAGAGAGCCTGCATGCGACATCACGACTGAAACTTTTCGCTTCTGGTGGGACGAAGCATCAGTCCGAAGCGCTCGCATGGCATCATCCTGCCATTCTGGGCCTACTGTACTGCTGCCCTACCTTTATACCAGATTTGCTTGTCGCTTCTGCCTCTTTGGCATTCTCGAGTGCACATGTCAAAACAGACCATCATGATCCTTGATTCACAATCCCGTTCTTCGGCGTCGCGGCGCCCTTGGCCTGGTTTCTGACGTGTTCAAGCGTGTCCGTCCGGGTAGGCTCATGGTAACAGGAGTTTAGCTATTTCCTACATCTTTTGTTGTATATATATATATATAGATACATATATACATATCTATATACATGGAGACCGCAGCACAGATCTTAGGCCTGCGAAGCCATGAACCCATAGGCCAGGCTGTCGAGGTCCACATCATCCTCGGACTCGCTTCCACAAGCTGAGGCCCGTAGAGCAGTAGCATGGCCGGTCACAACCTTCAAACGGCAGATCGGCCGCCGCGACATCACGGCAAGTTTTGATCTACGCCCAGTGCATGTCAACCGAACAAACGCAAGAACTTTAGATGTCGCCCTTGTGGTGTCTAGGGGCTTGAAGTCAACAACTTGTGCACACGTCTCATGGCAGTCCAACTTCGGGCCACAGCAGATCTGCACGGACTCTCAAAGGTTTGCATCTCATGCCATGGACTTGCAAGACCTTCACGCAGTCAAGAGTCATGGCGGGGGATCACCTTTCTCCCGGAGCAATCCGCGGTTGGTCGATGCTGGGATCCCAGCGCAAGGCGTGGTGGGGGCCGTCCAAAGTTCGCCCAGCATGTAGCGGTGCCTGAGATGAAAGAAGTATCCAAACAAATCGGGCACGTATGCCTTCACCCTCCAGTCGGAAAGCTGGACCACTCTTGGATTTGCGCGTGGCTTGTGAAGGGCTTTATGTCATCTGACTGCTCCTGCTACTGATGCTACTTACTCTCACCGACATCATTGATCACTGCGCCGAGCTGAAAGAGTAGGCGAGAATGCGAGCAAGCGACCACGAAGTTTGCCACCGGCAGGAAGAGGCAATTCTCTGTCCTCCGTGAGCCGGAAGTGGCGTCTGAATGTGTATGTGTGTGTATATATATATATATATATACAAGCAGAAGCATCGGGAAGACAACGGGTTTACTTTTGATCAACAGATGGGGTTGGGTGGGCCGCAACAACCGACCAGCCGCCTGCTGCGAGGAGAGGACTACTTCGCAACTTTTATTGGATGCCACACATTCGCACACGCACGCAAACACGCACACACACCAACACATACACGCATGCGCACATACTTGCTCACACGTGCGCAAATCAAGGGTGTAGGGCTTACATACAAAAATACATACAAACACATATTGGTGCAGATGTCAGAATACATGTGTAAAAACCTTGCCCGTGCAAAGGCCAGCTGGGAAGAAGGCTGCGCAAAAAGTCGGATGTGCCGCCCCGGATAGAGCCTAAGCCGAGGTGCTTTCAGGCACAGCAGGATCGGATTGAGGGAATGATTGGTTTCTGCCAGGGCTTGCGGCTGGAGCGGCAGCCGCTCGAGTCTGTTGTAATTGAGTCCGTTACAACTGTTCGGAAAACCAGTGGAATTATGCTAAAGCAGACTGACGAATCTCAACACCTGGTGGGCTCAACATTGAAACGACTATCCACCACTCACTCTCTGCTCCAGGGCTTCTGAAGCTTTGCGTACTCACTGTATAGATCGGGCATCGTGCCAAAGCGTGAAAAAGCCTAAACCGGATCAATCTGGATCATCAAGCCTGCAGCGCTTAATCTGCACAAACATCTCTGACAGACAAAGTTTCAGTGAGGTGTGGGCGTGTGATGTTCAGCCCACCATCGGTCCAGACCCTGTTCACAAAGCGAGCATAGCACACCCGTGCTCCAAAGCAGCGCGCATCCGTGTGGCTGTGTTTTGCGTGCGCCAACGATGTGTGAACTTGAGTACACATGTAAGAAGGCGTACTCATGAACCGGTGCTTTTTCTGTATTTTTTATAACCGTGTACCTATGTACATATACAGAATACCAATGTGCTTATTCACCTATATGCAGCTACACACAATCCACAAAAATATGCACACATATACATATAAACATATGTCCACATATACACATACACTTACACCCACATACGTACAGACATACGGACACATGCACACATACATGCATGTATCCATACATACATATACATGCATACATACTTACCTGCATATGTGCGTCCATACATCGCATAATGCAACATCACATAACATAACATACCTACACATCTACGATAACCTACACACATACATACATACGTACTGCATGATTAATTCCGTACCTCATAGGCATGCAACATGCAGCGAAGCAACCAGCCCACCGAAAATACATAACGACCACACACATTAACCTGTTCACACGCCAGAGACATACACACACACACACACACACATGCATATACACGAGCACTCATACAAACGTACATGCGCACACTTACACCATTTTGTATGTTCCGTGCTGCGCCTATCGAATATCATGTATGTATGTATGTCTGCACAGGTGCGTAGACGAATATTTTCGCTCAACAGATATACAGATAGATAGACATACAGTTGGATAGATAGATTGATAGGTAGGTAGATAGAGCTAGAGAGAGAGAGAGAGAGAGAGAGAGAGAGAGAGAGAGAGAGAGAGAGAGAGAGAGAGAGAGAGAGAGAGAGAGAGAGAGAGAGAGAGAGAGAGAGAGAGAGAGAGAGAGAGAGAGAGAGAGCGAGAGCGAGAGCGAGAGCGAGAGCGAGAGAGCGAGAGAGTGAGAGAGAGAGAGTGAGAGTGAGAGCGAGAGCGAGAGAGTGAGATCATTAGAGAGCAAGAACGATAGATAGGCAGATAGATGGATAGATGATAATTAGATGGATGGATGGATAGATAAGCAGATCGAAACATTAACATGGATAGCTACCTGGCTTGCTAGCTGGCTTGCTAGCTTGCTAGGTAGCTAGCTACGTAGATGGATAGATATGTAAAGCGTTGTGCGGGGGGATGCACGTGTGGATGTAGTGTATTCTTTCCGCACTTATTCCTCCACAGCCACGTGGATGAGGGAGATTGCACAATCTGGTTCTCTAGCTATTTCTGCATGCACAGGGACATCAGCACTTAGCCTCTTCGAAGCATGAACAAGCGTCGAACCCCCGCCGGGGACGAGGATAAGAACTAAAACGTACGAGGCAAGTGCACGATGGAATGCCTGCTGTTGACCGAGAACTGAAAATCAGCAAGTGCCTGGCTATATGAGCAGCATCGCCTGAAAATCCGCGAGGGCTCCCGGGACCTGGATGAATCAACCTCACCCCCCTGAAACTCCTACTTTAAATCCCGATAAGACCCAACTTTACACACCCCTACCTTAAACCCTCTATTAAGACCCTTTAACAAAAAGCAAACACCCTCAAGCCGAATTTAAGGAGTTTCGGAAATTAGGGGTACCTTGTTTGGAGTCCTTATAATAAGGATCCTACTATCTAGGGTACTATATTCTATACTGAACTTAGAAGCCTAGCACAAATTTTAATTTTCGCCGTTTCTTAGGGATTATAATAACCAAAACTTAAAAGCTAGTTCTAAGTACCCCTAAGTATTCGGGTCTCAAGCCGAAGCCGCGGCTTCGGAGGAAGGCAGGGCCTCGAAGGACCGCCGCATCACCTCTCAGCTTTCTCGGCTTTCTTTATAAGGGGGTTCCTTTAAAGGGTTCCTTTAAAAGATTTTAAAGAGGTCTATTAGGGTTATGATATAAGGGATCTATAAGGGTTCTGCAATATAGGGGCCTAAATAATTACCAGGGGGAAGGGGCATTAAAAGAAAGAGGGAACGGAAGGGCTGCAGAAGAGAGGGTTTTTGGGAGTGTTTGGTTTGAGAAACTTCTGGGTCTCTGTTATTCTGCTCTCGTGAGCGGGTCCTGTTCCTACATTGATTATGGGTCTTCAGCGTTTTTTGGCTGCAGGGCTTCGGATGGCTTCGGGGATGAGAGGGTTCAGGGCCTCACGGGGTGCGGGGGTTTAGGGGGTGAGAGTGCAGGCATTTGAGGATTTGGCATCCAGGGCCTAGATCTTAAGGGTTTCTGCTTCCGGGTACTTTTACTTGAAGGTCCTTCCAACAATGATGCCATGTTTTTGGCATAAGAGCGTCCTTTACTGTCATTTCCTTGGAGTCGAGACGTGGTCCAAGCATGTGTTGTGGCTCTTCACCTTTTCCGGCGCTCCGTTTGGCCTCCTTGGGGCTTTTAGGGTGCTTGTAGGGCCTTTAAGGGCCTTCACGCGCTTGCAGCAAAGCTGGGTGGCTTTGACAAAAATCGAGAGTTGGGGGCAAGAGTCAGGAGTTCAGGAGGTTGTCCTGAATTAGTGTCAGTTGATTCTAGACAGGTGCTTTAGGATTTCGGGGTTTGTGCACCATGCCGAATTTGCACCAAACTCGATTTTCCAAAGACCCAAAGTAGCACAGGGCGCGCAGATTGGGCTCTGGGCTTCCATGGTTTGGCAGCGTTTGCTCGAGAAGGCCGAGCATCCCCAGGCCTCTGCACGCCGCTGCTCTTCCGAGCGTAGCTGCGCGGCGACCTCCAGCGCTGTCTTAAGTTGTCGGGGTCAGGAGCTGATGATCTCACAAAGGTGATCTGCTGTGGGGGCAAGAGGTATCGGGACGCATGTCGTTTGTGAAACTCCCCTTGTACACTCACTGCGGCTCCCTGAACCGGAAGTCTCTACAGTACAGCCAAGAGGGCCAAGATCCACCCGAGAGGGCACCGTGAGCCAAGGCTGCAGCAGCCATCTCTGGCAGCACGGAGGACGCTGCACCATGTGGCCGAAGCCTGGAAATCATGGCTTTAAAGTTTCAAGGCTCCGGCTTTGGGTGATCTCTCTATCGTTGCAGTTGTTGTCACCAATGCTATTGAAGTTCTATATATATATATATATACATACATACACATTGCCTGGGTCTATAGATATGGCCACATATTTACATTCATGCATACACACACGTGCACATACACATATACATATGCGTGTTTTGCATATGTATATGCATGTACATCTAAATACACACATACACACCTCTACACACAGACATCTCTGTGTGTATAACTATGTCCATATAAACATATGTTATCGAAGTAATAATAATGATGAGATTAATACTACAAGTAATACTGGCACTGATAGTCATAATCATAATAGGCAGAAATCTATTACTGGTACAAACACCAACACCAATACTTATACTCATGCGACTAGTAATATTAAAAAGACCAGTACGAATAATACCTGTAGTAAAAACACTAGTAAAATAATCACAGTAATAGTAATGGCAATAGTAACAATTATGGTAATAGTAATAGCAACAGTACGAGGAAAAACACCTTAACAGTAATAATAACAATAGCATTAACAAGAGTAATAAATGACAGTAATCAGACTAATAGTGATTGGAAAACAACTGTTGTTCTTAATTATAGAATATGTATACTCGCGGTATAGGTAAAGACGCATCAGAGGCATCGAGACAAACATGAGAATAATAATTTACAGTCACTGGAAGCAGCATCAAGACCATCATCAGGAAACTGCATACCCATGTCTAAACCCATGTTCTTTGCCTCAGCAACATGGCTGATGGTGGGCCCTTTCCCTGCTCTAGGACCGGAACTCCAACTCTGCATGGAGAACTCCCACAGATAGTTGGTGGCGACGTCCCACGCCCTGAGCACAGAGGGCTGCCATCGCGGCTTTGGGGTTTGGGGGAATGCAAAACAAGTGCCCTGTGGCGGTGACAAATTCAGAATTCACCTGCGCATCTCCACTCCCGACCCCAGACCTGTTTGACACAGGGGTGCATGTGTTTGCAGTCCGGAAAAGACGAGCTGGTTCACATGATCCGATATATGCAAGAGCAGCTGCAGCTCTGCAGCCACAAGCCATACACTTGAACTCCAGTGCCTTGAGACCTCCTCTACAGGGGAAAGATCAACACCCACTGCCCGTTCGAGTACCTGCAGTTCCACTGTCATCTTCTGGGGGCCCGTGGTGGTCAAGCAGTTTCTCCTTTGCAGCGCAGGGTGTTGCAATGTCATCCATCGGAGGCTTCTTCACGTGAATGGCTTAGCGAATTTAGCGGCTCTCAAGCATGCAGGAGGACTCTGCATCGGGCCTCCTGACTTTTTCCACGGTAATTATCCTGACATGGTGGCTGCTTATTCACTCTAAACCCTAAGCAACACAGTTCACTCAGCTCGGAGCCATTCAAGGCGATGACTCGAGATGAGGGTTCCTTCGCAAGTCAGGGCGCATACTGACGTGAGTCGACATCAAAACGGGTTTGGGTTATGCAAGAGTACTACAACTTACTAGTAGTAATACATAAGCAACACTATAGAAATGCTATGGTAGTCTGACCGTCAACTTGTGTTGGGAGCTACAGCACCGCACGTGGCTGGAGTGGTCGTACTTCGGCACGACGAAAAGCGAAAAAGACACGCACGCGCACGCTTCCAACGAACAAGCGAAACTTGGAATCAACACGGCTGAGCGAGATACCTCACTACGGTTGGTCCCAACTCGCACGCGTGGTCGTGGGATCGCAGGTCTGCAGCAAGGTCAGTGCCGAGGCCGACGATGACCCCATGAGCTTGAAGCGGCAGATTTCGAAGATTAGCAAGAACATGTCGGAAGCACATCAAAACTTTCTTGGCGGTGCCTGCGCCCCAGTCCCACGGCGGATCTTCACCACTTCCGCCTGGGGAGCGAGAGGCTTCCGTGCAGAAGTCCGGCTGCCTTCGGAAAAGACAAGCTCTGGGTTCTGTCCTTTTGCAGTCTGACCATTCAGAAAGTTTCGGAAAGCCATTTGCAAGCACTGGAGTCTTCGCGGCTGCGCAATTTCCTTGGGTGATCCCGGTCCAAACCGACACCAAACACCGATGCAACGGTCTTCCCAATATCTGCAACAATTTAACAAGCTCGTTTGGACAACTGGCTCTTCCTAAGCATCTAAGTAAGTAATTCATGTAGACTTTGACAAGGTCTGTCAAGTGAAAGGACCGTCGCAACTTCATTAGTCGCTGGGAGTCCAACTCCCACCACGGCACACCAAGACCAGGTGGACCTGCCATGACGGAACATGCTTCTCCAGGAACAAACAACCTCTTATTCCTTGTGAAAGTACCATTCAAGGGCAGATGCTCCGTTCAAAACTACTTCCCGAAAACTGCATACGTTCACAAATGCTTCTCGGCGATTTGAACGCCACTACCCAATCATAAGCTTGTGGGCTGACCGGGGCGGCATGCAGCAGCAAGCCTCGATCAGACTACCCGCACACAAACTGACATCTTGCGGGAATGATTAACCAGCGCGACTTCCACAATGATAAGGGGAGGTTTGGGCGGCCCAAATTGATAAAATGATCTCAGCAGAATCGGAACATGAGGAGAACGGCTCGAGGAAAGATACTTGCAATTACACGGGAGGTAGTTAATCCGCACCCGAACCCGAATTCGGGAACCTGGCCAAATCCGCCCTTGGGATCGTTTCATTCACATCCAAGCGTCCGCTGCGTGAGGCCGCATCGGGTAGCTTCAGAAACAGCGCCTGGCAAGGGATGCGAGGCTTCGCGCCGTTTACAAGCAGTTAACCGACAAACATAATACATAATAACAATAGCAATAATAATAATGATAATAATAATAATAACAACAATAATAATAATCAAAATATAATAATAATAATAATTAAATAATAATAATAGTAATAGTACTAACAATAGTAATACTAATAGTAAGAATAATGATAAAATAGTAATAAGAGTGCCAGAGTTCGGGACGGCGCTCGAGGATCCCTCGGGCCCGGGTTTTTGGCCCATGCCTCGGCCAGTCGAAGAGCGCAGGCTGAAGTCTGTACAAACGGCTTAGCGCGATTCAAGCCTGGAAGTCCCAAGCACGCCAGGAGCCTTTGCGACCCCAAACTATGGCAGCTGCAAACTTCCTTTCTGTCAGGGGGGGCTGGTCAGCTGATGCTCTGACAGGCTTGGGAACAACAGTGCGGTGCACAGCTTCACTGAATGAGTTCGCACGTCTACATTATTCACTATTCATCAGTACTTAGTGCCCGAACTCACTCGAAGTTTACAGACAAATTTGCATAGAGAAGCTGTGGATTGGTGCTTTCAGCGACAGCAAGCTTAGCGCAGGCGCAGCACCAAGTGCAGCGTGCTTTCCTTCTGGATGTTGTAATCGGACAAGGTACGCCCGTCTTCCAGCTGTTTGCCAGCGAAGATGAGGCGCTGCTGATCGGGTGGGATACCCTCCTTGAAAGTGGAAACACGTTTCAAACTTTATGCAAACGACTTGAGCAAACACATCTGAACCAACTGTACAACCCGATGTCATCGGAACAAAATTGTACAAGCGAAACCAGGCACCTTGTCTTGGATCTTGGCCTTCACATTATCGATAGTGTCTGAAGCCTCAACATCCAGCGTGATGGTCTTGCCAGTCAACGTCTTGACGAAGATCTGCATGCCACCACGCAGGCGCAGCACCAAGTGCAGCGTGCTTTCCTTCTGGATGTTGTAATCGGACAAGGTACGCCCGTCTTCCAGCTGTTTGCCAGCGAAAATGAGGCGCTGCTGATCGGGTGGGATACCCTCCTTGGAAGCGGAAGCTCGTTCCAAACATTATGCAAACAAGTTTTTGAGCAAAACACATGTGAACCAACCGTAGAACCCGATGTCATCGAAACAAAATGGGACAGGCGAAACCCGGCACCTTGTCTTGGATCTTGGCCTTCACATTATCGATGGTGTCTGAAGCCTCAACATCCAGCGTGATGGTCTTGCCAGTCAACGTCTTGACGAAGATCTGCATGCCACCACGCAGGCGCAGCACCAAGTGCAGCGTGCTTTCCTTCTGGATGTTGTAATCGGACAAGGTACGCCCGTCTTCCAGCTGTTTGCCAGCGAAAATGAGGCGCTGCTGATCGGGTGGGATACCCTCCTTGGAAGTGGAAGCACGTTTCAAACATTATGCAAACAACATTTTGAGCAAACGCTTCTGAACTAACCGTACAACCCGATGTCATCGGAACAAAATTGTACAACCGAAACCAGGCACCTTGTCTTGGATCTTGGCCTTCACATTATCGATGGTGTCTGAAGCCTCAACATCCAGCGTGATGGTCTTGCCAGTCAACGTCTTGACGAAGATCTGCATGCCACCACGCAGGCGCAGCACCAAGTGCAGCGTGCTTTCCTTCTGGATATTGTAATCGGACAAGGTACGCCCGTCTTCCAGCTGTTTGCCAGCGAAGATGAGGCGCTGCTGATCGGGTGGGATACCCTCCTTGGAAGTGGAAGCACGTTTCAAACATTATGCAAACGACTTGAGCAAACGCATCTGAACCAACCGTACAACCCGATGTCATCGGAACTAAATGGGACAAGCGAAACCAGGCACCTTGTCTTGGATCTTGGCCTTCACATTATCGATGGTGTCTGAAGCCTCAACATCCAGCGTGATGGTCTTGCCAGTCAACGTCTTGACGAAGATCTGCATGCCACCACGCAGGCGCAGCACCAAGTGCAGCGTGCTTTCCTTCTGGATATTGTAATCGGACAAGGTACGCCCGTCTTCCAGCTGTTTGCCAGCGAAGATGAGGCGCTGCTGATCGGGTGGGATACCCTCCTTGAAAGTGGAAACACGTTTCAAACTTTATGCAAACGACTTGAGCAAACACATCTGAACCAACTGTACAACCCGATGTCATCGGAACAAAATGGGACAAGCGAAACCCGGCACCTTGTCTTGGATCTTGGCCTTCACATTATCGATGGTGTCTGAAGCCTCAACATCCAGCGTGATGGTCTTGCCAGTCAACGTCTTGACGAAGATCTGCATGCCACCACGCAGGCGCAGCACCAAGTGCAGCGTGCTTTCCTTCTGGATGTTGTAATCGGACAGGGTACGCCCGTCTTCCAGCTGTTTGCCAGCGAAGATGAGGCGCTGCTGATCGGGTGGGATACCCTCCTTGAAAGTGGAAACACGTTTCAACCTTTATGCAAACGACTTGAGCAAACGCATCTGAACCAACGTGCAACCCGATGTCATCGGAACAAAATGGGACAAGCGAAACCAGGCACCTTGTCTTGGATCTTGGCCTTCACATTATCGATGGTGTCTGAAGCCTCAACATCCAGCGTGATGGTCTTGCCAGTCAACGTCTTGACGAAGATCTGCATGCCACCACGCAGGCGCAGCACCAGGTGCAGCGTGCTTTCCTTCTGGATGTTATAATCGGACAAGGTACGCCCGTCTTCCAGCTGCTTGCCCGCGAATATGAGGCGCTGCTGGTCAGGAGGAATGCCTTCCTTGTGTCACAAGCAAGCGTAAACAGGCATTTCGGCACGATTGAACACTAGCGCGGGTTATGTCTTCCAATCTATCAGTGCTCTCCAACCTGTTGCAAATATTTAAACAAAATTTGTAAACAACACGCGAAGTGCAACATTCAGATGAGCAGCGCAGCTTTCGAAAACATATGCCGGAATCAAGCGTAATCAGTTATCGGGCTTACGCTCAGGTTTCAGTCGGTGTTATATGGGGCTTCTAGTTATGTAGGCCGTACTCTGGCATGGTTTGATTTGGCAGTTGCAATGCTTTCGGCTTTAAGGTCTAGGGTGAGGTTTTGAACGGGCACTCGCGAGGATGTCGTAAAGCAGGCCCACGGTACCCGCTTCACCCAACCGCTCAAAGTGGCCTCAAACATGCCACGAAAGTCGCGCCGCCCACTCTCAAAAATAACCTGACGTGAGGGAGGGTGGCACCTGACAAACGGATCAAACGGGAGCGTGTCAAAAAAATCAAGCATGGAAGGCAGACTGCCTGACGGTCATCGAGCAAGGAGGTGTCTCTCTGGTTGTCAGTAGGAACAAGGACACCAAGCAAATTTTTCGGCAGCAACTTGCTTCAGAGGGGTTCCGCGGGAAGTCAAAGGTGCCACTGCCACACCGCTGGGGACCACGAAGCCAACCGTGTTCTTGTGCCCAAGCAACTGCCCCGTAAGCTCGTCGAACTTGTGGCTTTCGTCCATCGACAACTGCCTCTCGGCTTCCGTGTTGGCAACCACAAGGCAGTCGTCATAAAAGTTGCCAATGAAGGGCTGCGTGAGCCCCAGACTCCCGTTAGCAGTGCAACACGGCGCACGCTGGAAGCACGACCTTGCCTGGAAGCGTTTGTGCAAGCCCAGAATGGCCCAACCAGAAGGCCCCAATCTGAAAGCAGTGAGTAGCTCTTTGTTGAAGCGTCGGTCCGCTGCTGTCCAAGCAACCGGATACCCCACGCTGGCCTCAAGCTCGTAAGTGATGCTCCACGGCAGACGGTCGAAGCACTGTTCGCGGTCCAGGAGATAGCCAGCCTTGAATTGCTGAAAACAATGGGAGTGCTCGAGCAGCAACGTGATGGCCCATGTAATGTCCAATGTCATGGCATCCGGTCTGGCGCCACGCATCTCGCCCGGCATGAGGGCCTTCAGCCAATCCTTCGAAAGGTTGTAAGTAGCTTTGTCAAAGCCAACAGCCCACACCGAGAGATAAGTGAGAGGGTGTTGCTCCTCGGGCAGCCCTGACTCCGATTTTGGCACAAGGGGAACCGTGCCATACAGTAACGGAGGAGCACCGCTGTCGCGCTCGAAAGGAAGCACAGACGGGAGAGGGTGGGCATCAACCACCATCAGTGCCTCCAACTTTGGCGTCGCGATGCTCCCACAAACAAAGTTCTTGCTCGGACGATGGCCCTACCCCGACGGGTGAGCTCAGCGCCCCCGCTCCCGTCTCACTGCTCAGCATCTGTGTGACCCTCGTCAAAGACGTGGGTTCCATGTCGCTCCAGGACCACACGGCGTACACGAGCCATATGTTGCAGCACCAGTTTCGCGGCACGATCTCCTTGACCACTTGGCCATCCAAGTCTGCGCCCGAGAGGATGCTGTGGTACTCCAGGACGACCGTCGGAAAAGTTCGAGCACTCCCAGCAGAGGTGGTCCCACGTCGGGACCTGCTGACGACCACACCAAGGGCACCGGGCCATGGCGGCTCCATCCTTAATGACGCCGTACACAGCCGAACTAACAGCACCACCGTGGAGCACAGCTCGTCCATGCGCGCTGCATGCAGGAGCGCGCATACAGCGCAGCAGCGGCCTTAACCTGAAGCTCGCTATAACCCCCAACCGGCTTAAGGATCCCAGCATCCCGGCGATCACTCCGCAAGAAAGCTTGAAGATGACGCCGCCTGTAAGCCTCGCGGAGAAAATGAGGTGCACGACCTAGTTGCGCCCGCGGCTGAGCGCTTGTGACGTCAATGACGCCCACACCTGGATGCATCCATTGCCCCGGCATGATCTGATGAAAATCACTCGCAAACAGGAACTTGTCGACCCGCTTCTGCCACCGAGCCTCAGGGAGCACAACGCCACGAGTGAGCCAGTACTCACGAGCCCGCACAAGGCCAGCGACAGCGGAGGTCCTAGCCGCGAAGCAACTCGAGACCCAAGGCCCTTCAAGCAACATCCACCGCGATACTCCCACACTTCGCGAACGAGCTCCACAGGAAAAGGAAGGCGAAGGAGCTGCCGTCGGGCCATGTCAAATGCCTGGTAGGGGATAGCCATCTCAATGAAGAGTCTGTGTCCACGCCATGCCAAGCCCATGCTGGTGTACTTACACCTGAGGGCGCGTTGCCCGCACAGCGTCTGCAGAACACACTGGTCGAAGTCGCGGGCAACCCGTGCAGTAGGCTCCTCAAGCTCGAGGCCGTACCGAGCACCAGCGGTCTTCAAGGCAAGCAGCGTGGCTTTCTCCTCCAAAGGCACAGGGAGCTTGGCGATGGGGTGGATCTCAGCTTGCGCCTCGAGGGCCCGTTTGTCCTGCAGCGACTGGTCAGGCTGGTTGTCCATGCGGATGAGCACCCCCAAAAGCTTGTCCACTGTAACCTGCTTGAGGAGCTGGCCACGTGAGCGCAACACCGGTTCAGTGCAAGGGATGGTGAATCCCACAGTCTTCTTGTGACCAATTTTTTGGCCCGTCAGAACATCAAAACGATCACTCTCACTCACGGAACGCTGTTGCTCATCTTGTGAATCGGCCACTACCAAGCAATCGTCGTAAAAAATTCCGACGAAGGCTTTGGGCAAGAGGTTGAGCTGCCTTCGGACCCACACAGCAATGATCAGGGATACTCTCCGAACACTGCTCGGGAGACCCTGTCTGAACGCGTTGGTGGACGTCCAGAAGGGTCCGATCGGGGGGCCGAGCCTGAAAGCAGCCTGCAGTGCACGGTTCAAGCGATGGTCAGCCTGAGACCAATGGCAGGGGAATCCAGCATGTTGCTCCAAACCAAAGGTGATTGCCCACGGGAGCCTATCAAAGCATAAGTAGCCCGATTTCTGCTAGTTGAAGCAGTGGGCGTGCTCAATCAGAAGGAGGACAAGCCAGGTAACATCCATCGTCATTGCGCCAGGGTGCGCCCCTCTTGTGGCAGCCGGCATGAGGTGCTCCAGCCAGTCCTTGGCCAGGCAGAAAACAAAAGGAGAGACTGTCTCGTTCTTCGGGATCAAACAACCGTGCCGTAAAGGAACGGAAGTCCTATTTAGCTCCATTGGCAAATGTTCGAAAGCAGGCTTCGCAGGCAGAGGTGTTCGGGAGCTTTTGCCCTTCATGCGTGGTCCAGTTGTCAATGGCCTGGTGCACCAAGTTTGTGTTGGCCGCTTGCGTGGACAGCAGTTTCCAAGGCTTTGCCGTCAAGCTGCGTAGTGTAGGGCACTCGACCAACCATCAATCTCACTCCTGTCGGCTCTTGCTCTGGAAAAGAGCTTGATCCGCACATTTACGGCGACGGTTTAGGGTGTTAGGGTGTTAGGGTTTAGGGGACTCCTGGACCACCCCAGAGAAACATGCCACATCATGCCAAGGGAGCCTACGAGCGCGTAGCAAGCAAGCATTTTCATTTGCACCAAGTTCGCTCCGCAAAGAACCGCCACTCAGCCCAGCGGCCACCCATGTCGCAGTCACGGCATTTCAGCTGGCCAACAGAGTTGGCGGCATGCCCAGGGACAATGAAGTGCCGCCGTCTTTCCACAGCAGTGCGGTTGTGCATGATCAGCTAGATCATCTGGTTCTTTTTGACACCCTTCAGGCCCTCCACCTGAGTGAGCTCGTCAGCAGTGAGCGTCTCCCAGGTAGGGCGTGGCGGTCGGACAGCAGCTCGAGCCTTGGGTACCGGTGTGAGCGGCACGGCAGGCGGCGCAGTGTAGTCATCCGCTCGCTGCTTCGTGCGAAGGCGCCGTAGAAGAGGAGCATCCGGTTGCATGGTGAACACGGACTTGCCCATCAGGTAGCGCAGCACCTTGTTGCGGAGGACGAACCAGCACGTCAGGGAGGCGCCGCCGAAGTCCCCACTCACGGGCTGCAGAAAAACCCAGCGGTGCACCAGGCCTCCACAGTGGGGGCGGTGGCCTGTCAAAGTTTGGGACCCACTTGAACTGACGCTGCTGTCCAGTCACCGCAGGTACTTCGACGTGAGCACGCAGCCAAGCCGCGCAGAAGTGCGTCCAGTAGTCAGTCGGCAAGACAAACCTGCCTTCCAGCCCAGGTCCGTGTTGAAACCGAAGGCGACGCAGCGACTCCGCCATGGCCACAACATTCCCAGGCGCAGGATCTGCGCAAGACGTTTGGAAGCAGCAGTGAAAAATGCCCTCGTTGTTGCATTGTTGACCGCTCGCCATCCTGTTGCCCAGCAGGGGTCATGCCGGTGAGGAGCTTGAAAGCGACCGCCAGTTCCACGTAGGAGGACACAGCAACTTTGTCGCCAACAGTCGTCTCTGCGTCGTTGGTCCACAGCAAGCTGGCCCAGAACCAGTAGAGGGGCTCCAGGAACTCGTAGTCGGGTTGTTTCCAAACAGTACCTCGGCAGCGTGAGTTGCGGCTTCGCGAAGAGGTCTTGCAGGTTCACCTGGCATGGAGGGTCAGCGTGAAGGTCGTGGCCGGCCTCCTCGTCAGCAGCAAGCGCGTCGTCCTGTGCCACTGCTGCTGCGTCCTCAGTGCTCAGGTTGCCAGTTTGCTTTTTCCAGGGCTCGCTGCGAGCAGCGTGCACGGCCAAGAGAGTTCTCTCTGCACCAGCTTGGTGACAGTAGCCTGTCGCCTAAACCTTGCTTTGAGCTCTTTGTGAACCCCGTGAAGCGCGGCCCCAGCAACAGCGAGCTTGTCGGCCTGTTCGTTCCACAAGGCCTCTTTTGGAGAGGCGGGCCCAAGAGCAACGTCCAGGTCGCCAGCGTGGCCCTTGACGTAGGTGACGACGAGGAAGTCCTCGCCCTTAGCTCGTGCCACTGCACGCAAAAGGCACCAAAGGTCGTTGTGCTCCTTCCACGGCCGTTCGCGCTGAAGAAGAAGACTTTGGTAGCCCAGGCGCACCGCGTCGTTGTCCGTGAGGTACTCCGTCGGCTCGTAGCTCCAAGACGCCACACGCAGAAGAGACCGAAGTTCAGCGCGGTCAGAGTCCTGAGCAGCACCTTCCAAAGCAAACGAAAAGTTGCAGGAGTGGTTTGGGCCAAAGTAGCCACCGCACCCAGCTCTGGCGATCGGCATGCCTGGTCAGAGCAAGCGCCATCACCGGCAACAACAAGGCGGCCATCACGTCGCAGCTGGCATCACTGGCAGTTCGTTCAGGTGGCCTCACGTCCTCAGCCGTACAGGTTGTATAGAGCACGAGAGGGGACTGTCAAAGGCAGCGTCCCGGGGGGTAATGCCGGCATTCCAGAAGCATGGCGGCCAGCTCTCACGTTCTGCAGCAGTGGTTTCAGGCAACAGCACAGCACGCTGGTCATTGAAAGCCTGGCAGTCACGGGAGACGTGCAGACTCGTCTCAGGGACTTTAGCTGCTAACTTTAGCTTCACAGAAAGGGCAGGTGCCGTCACTCCGTCGAAGCTTGGCCGCGCGGGCCTCCGTAGCAACACGGCCTTCCCACAGGAACCTCAAGCGGTTCTGGTCGTCAGCACTCAGAGTTCCGCTCCGAAGCAAGGCTGGGGTGAGCTTGTAGTTGATGCCGTCTTGGATGCCCTCCAGATCTTGTCTTGGCGGCACCTGCGCAAGTTTGGCTTGCCTGATCGCATCCCTGACTCGGTGGAGGAACCAAGCAGCTCGCAGGGTTGGTTAGTGTAGGGCACTCGACCAACCATCAATCTCGCTCCTGCCAGCTCTTGCTCTGGAAAAGAGCTTGATCCGCACATTTACGGCGACGGTTTAGGGTGTTAGGGTGTTAGGGTTTAGGGTTAGTTTACGGTACCTTATAACACCTGTATAGCAGCCACTTTCGTCGCCCCCATTCCCTACTTGTTCCACATACGGAAAGTTTCAACCACGCCTGAAATTTTATGCGAGCAACTACCCGCAATGCATGCAAAACAACCCTATGGTTTGATCGATGTAGTGGGAATAACGCGAACATTCAAAATATCAAAAGGAGCACCTTGTCTTGGATCTTGGCCTTCACATTGTCGATTGTATCTGAGGCCTCGACGGGTGAAGGGTCAACAACAACAACAACAACAACAACAACAACAACAACAACAACAACAACAACAACAACAACAACAACAACAACAACAACAACAACAACAACAACAACAACAACAACAACAACAACAACAACAACAACAACAACAACAACAACAACAACAACAACAACAACAACAACAACAACAACAACAACAACAACAACAACAACAACAACAACAACAACAACAACAACAACAACAACAACAACAACAACAACAACAACAACAACAACAACAATTTTTTTATTGGACGCTGAGCGAGCGGGCTCTGCTCATTGCGGGCGTGTGAGACTGCCTTTGCACCTGAACAAAGGTCTGAGAGCAGAAATGCTAAGGGCCTGGGCCTGAAAGCGCTGAAACAGGCTACCGTGAAGAGAGCTACCCTACAAGCTACCTCAAAAGCCGGTTCATGCGTCTCAGGCGTGGGTGAGAAACCCTCCGTCACCCTCAGTGTGGACTATGGCGTCCCATGTCCACGGACCGATGATTGATGAGCCGTACCCCCTCGGGACCGTCACTCAGAGTGCCTGTTGCGTGGCGTCCCACTCATGGTCACTCTCAATCAAAGGCGATGGGCCGTAAGGTCGCAAAGGTGATGAGCATGTGGAACGGCTGCTAGTGCTGTTATCTGAGGCCGCTCCGCTTTTGTGGGCAAGCAGATTGCATCGGTGAACGATGTGGCACACCCTGGCGGTAAGCACACTGTGCCTAATAAGGCTAACCTTATTCGTAAGAGGCGTACTCCCCTCCAGAGGCCAGGCTTGCCGGCAATGGCTTGGGGGCCTCGGACAACCCCCCATTCTCGAGCCGAGAATGGGGGGTTGCAAAACCTTGATTTTTAGGCCTCGGACAAACCCCCCTTCTCGAGCCGAGAATGGGGGTTTGTAAAGCCGATTTCAGCCATTGGTCAGCTGTGTTGCTGACAGGCGTTGCCTTTCTGGGAAAGCAGCGAGCGTTGCCCGACTAGCATGACAGGTATAGGCCGCTATTGCACACAAACGCTGAGTAGTGGAGCTACGTCAGCTGTACGACTTGAGCAGCAAAACTGAACAACAGCGTTCCTGCTCCCTGCCGTGTAGGCAGGTCGGTCCCACAGAGCCAGTAGGTCGCCCCCTTCCTGCAAGGGGAAGTAGGGGCCCCTGGCCTCAGGGGAACCCTCAGCTTAATCATCTGAAACTTGGACTGGCATAGGGCCAGCCTCCGCTGTGTGCGGTATTGAACCAAGTCGCACGAACAGCACATAGCAGCCGTGGCGTGCCTGCCTGAGATCTGAATCTGAGGCCTGAACCGACGGACGACCATCGTCCGTGCTGAGCCAAGGTTGATCGGGGTTGCTCCTCCAGAGGGAGCGATAATGTCCACTGTGCGGGGTGTCACCTATGTGGAAGATACAGGACTGAACCCATCCTTTCTCTAGTTGTACGGAGCCCGTCGGGGCCCACTGCGAGAGCTGAAGGGGGTGGTGCAGACCAGTGACAGCATAGCTGAGCTTGCGGCCTTCAACAAATCGCGCCACTGTGAGAACCACCAGTCGTTGCTGCCCTCGAAAGGCGGTGTGCACCGGCTGGCCAGACCACCGAGAGAGCAGCTCCTGAAGTGCATGGGATCCACCTGTCGTTGGAGCTGGCAGCAAAGCGAGCGGACCTCCCGCATCGGTGACCTCAGTAGTGTTTACATCCCTGACTTCCCAGGGTCGTGCAATCGGAAAGGCGGTAATGCCTGCAAATAAGGCCACTAGAAACTCCGAAGCATCTTGTTGTTGGCCATCATAGCGCCAAGCGGGAGTAAGATGGCGAAGCGTGAAAGAGGCAGTCAGGGTGAAAGGAGAACCAGAGACAGAATCAGCCACTTCCTGATGGAGGGAGGTGCTTGCCCCTCCGTGCTCCAGCAAGATGCACGT